AGAAAGACATTAAACAAATGGCGCATGTGCATCGACTTCCGTGACTTAAACTTGGCCTGCCCAAAAGATCATTATCCCTTACCATGAATTGATCAGCTCGTCGACTCTACGGCTAGTTGCGAATTACTGAGTATGATGGATGCATCTCAGGGATACCACCAGATTCCATTGTGCCCGGAGGATCAAAGTAAGGTGAGTTTCGTGACGAGTAAAGGGACGTACTGCTATGTCGTCATGCCCTTTGGGCTTAAGAATGCTGGAGCATCCTACCAACGGTTGATGGATCGAATGTTCAAATCTCAGATTGGGCGAAATATCGAGGTATATGTGGACGATATCTTGGTAAAGAGTAAGGCCTCAACCTCACACCCAGACGATTTAAGGGAAACGTTCAAAACCCTTAGGGCGTTCGGGATGAAGCTGAACCCAAGCAAGTGTGCCTTTGGCGTAAAGGCAGGACAATTCTTGGGGTATATCGTCACAGAGCGAGGAATCGAGGTAAACCGGGAAAAAGTAAAAGTCATACTCGACATGGCTCCACCAAGAAATATAAGAGATGTGCAAGTTCTGACGGGATGAATTGCGGGGCTGAGCAGGTTCATTGCTCGAGCCGCAGAAAAAAGCTTCCCCTTCTTCAGATTACTCAAAAAGAAGTCGACCTTCTCATGGAGTTACGAAGCACAAATGGCCTTCGAAAAGTTAAAAGAATTCTTGGGCGAGTTGCCTTTGTTGACAAAACTAGAGCCCGGCGATGAGCTGGTGCTTTATATATCTGTGGGTTAGGTATCACTAAGTTCAGTGTTATTGCGAGAAGGAGGTGTCCAACAGCCAATTTACTACACCAGTCGAGTTCTTTAGGGCGCAGAGACGAGATACTCTGAGATCGAGAAAGCCGCTTTGACACTGGTGATAACGGCTTAAAAACTAAGGCCATATTTTCTGAATCATGTGGTAGTAGTCAGGACGAACTTCCAGCTGGGTGACACAATGGGCCGACCTACGGTATCAGGTCGACTCGTTAAGTGGGCAGTCGAGCTGAGCGAATATTCCATCAAGTATGAGCCAAGGCGAGCCATAAAAGCTCAAGCCCTGGCAGATTTCATCCAAGAAGGTACCAAGGGAGAAGAAAAGAAATGGGTCATGCACGTCGATGGGTCCTCAGCGACCAAAGGATCCAGTCTGGGAATCGTCCTCGTATCACCCGAGGGCGAGCAACTTGACTTTGCCATTAGAATGGGATTCAAGGCATCAAATAACGAAGCAGAATACGAGGCGTTAATCAAAGGAATTCAACTCGCAATTGGCGGAGGAGCGTCAGAAATTGTGGCACATTCCGACTCACAATTAGTTGTTGGACAAGTGTTGGGAAGTTGCGAGATCAAAGAAGAACGAATGATGAAATATGTCGAAGAAATCCAAAGTCTTGTGCAGGGCCTGGAGAAGTTTGAACTAACACAAATCCCTCGAGAGGAAAATAAACAAGCAGATTGGCTCGCGAGAATCGCGAGCTCGAATGATGGGAAGATGGGAAGCTCTATCACCACCATGCATCTAGAGGGAAGAGTGTTGGGCGAAACGATGGAAGTCGAGGAAAAGGACGACTGGAGAAAATTGATTCATGAACTCCTACAGGGTCGAGTACCTATGCGAGATAAGCAGGAGGCAAAAAGGGTCGCTCGATATCTAAGCAAGTATTTTGAAGTCGATGGTGTCATGTTCAAAAAATCTCTGGTTAGGCCTCACTTGCGATGCATCTCTAAGGACGAAGGAACCGATGTCTTGAAGGAAATACATGAAGGATGTTACGGAGCACATATAGGATCGCGAGCTCTGGCGGGCAAAGCCTTACGAGCAGGATACTATTGGCCCAAGATGCGGGCAATGGCGGAACAGTTAGTCCAAAGGTGCGAAAAATGTCAACGCCGCGGGCAGATCACTCATATCCCCACCGATTACATGACGACCATAAACACTCCGATCCCCTTCGCGCAATGGGGAATCGACTTGGTAGGACCATTGCCGACAGGGACAGGGCAGAGGGAGTTCTTAGTAGTCGCTGTTGACTATTTTACCAAGTGGGTCGAAGCGGAACCGTTGGCAAAAATTATGGAGGAAAAGATGATTCAATTCCTGTTTAACAATATCTGTTGTCGGTTCGGAGTTCCGAAAGTACTAATCTCTGACAATGGAACTCAGTTCCAAGGGAAACGAATTCAGGCATGGTGCCTTTACATGGGAATAAAGCAAAAGTTTGCCTCGGTCGCGCACCCCTAGGCTAATGGGCAAGTCGAAGTAACTAATCGAACTATTCTCCAAGGATTGAAGAAGAGATTGGAGAGAGCATCAGGTGCTTGGGTCGATGAGCTGACAACGGTTCTATGGGCCTATAGGACGACCCCGAGAAACTCAACAGGCCAGTCACCATTTCACATGGTTTACGGAATGGACGCACTCCTGCCTATCGAAGTAAGCTTAGATTCTCACAGGTCGACATTTTATGAGGAAAAGAAGAAGGAGGAAATGATCAAAGAGGCCCTCGATATGATAGAAGAAGGGTGTGAGGAAGCCTGGGTACGATCCATGGAATACAAGCAGAAGATGCATGCAGCCTTCGACAGGAAAGTCTGCACCAGACGATTTCAGGTGGGAGATCTCGTCCTCAAACGAGCAGATGCTCTTAAACATGTCGGGAAGCTTGAAGCTAACTGGGAAGGACCTTACACCATCACCAAAGTACTCGAAAGATGGGCATATGAACTCAAGGATGGCGAAGGACGACAGCTGTCGCGATCTTGGCACGTGATCCATCTCAAACGCTTTTATGCCTAAAAATAACATTTTGAACTCTTTTGTACTGAATAATGCTTAGTCAAATTCAGTAATGCAACGACTCCCAAGTTTATGTTTAAGTTATGTCTTTTACATTTCCATGTCGATTTTATTATAACTACTTGAAAAATCGAATCTTTCGGAACGGCTATAAAGCCGATTAACTCCAACGACTACGAAGTCAATCTAAAACAACTACGAAGTTGTATGCCTCGAGTGGAATCTCGGCAAAGGCTACGAAGCCTACGACTACGAAGTCGATCTAAAAACAACTACAAAGGTGTATGCCTCGAGCGAAATCTCGGCAGGGCTACGAAGCCTACGACTACAAAGTCGACTCGAACAACTACAAAGTTGTATGCCTCGAGCGAAATCTCAGCAGGGCTACGAAGCCTACGACTACAAAGTTGATTTGAACAACTAAAAAGTTGTATGCCCCGAGCGAAATCTCGGCAAGGCTACGAGGCCTACGACTATGAAGTCGATCCAAATAACTACGAAGATGTAAGTGGAATCCCGACAAAGTCCACAACTATAAAGTCGAGTTTAAACAAACTACAAAGTTGTATACCTCAAGTAGAATCTCGAAAAAACCATAAAGT